AAATGTCGATGAAGCATTTGGGAAGGACGTGGCCAATGAACATACAGCACGTGGATGGTTTGAAAAGTTCTGTTCTGGTGATCTTAAGTTTGAAAATGAGCTACATGGGCAACCAGAGACCAAGGTGGATGATGATGAGCTGGAAGCTGTAGCGGAAGCAAACCCATCTCCACCTGCTGAATTAGCAACAAGGTCTGACATCATTATTCCAACAGGAGTGGACCATTTGAAACAAATCAGCAGGTAAAGGAGCTGGTTAGATGAGTCCATGTGAATTAAACAAGAGCATCAGTAGAGAAATCATTTTGAAGCTTGTCTTCTTTGCTGTGAGGACATTTCTATACTTTATTACTATGTGTGATGAAAAGTGGATTCTTTAAAACCCATTGCAGAGGGCTTGGCGCCTGTGACTCAAGTGGCTGAGGTGCCAGCCACATACACCTAAGGTGGAGGGTTCGAATCCAGCCCGGACCCGCCAAACAACAATGATGGCTGCAACCAAAAAATGGCCAGGCGTTGTGGCGGGCGCCTGTGGTCCCAGCTACTTGGGAGGTGGAGGCAGGAGACTCGCCTGAGCCCAGGAGTTAGAGGTTGCTGTGAGCTGTGATGCCACGGCACTCCACCCAGGGGGATAGCTTGCAGCTCTGTCTCAAAAAAAAAAAAAAAAACCATTGCAGGTACGGGAGAACAAAATCCAGTTGTTCTTTATAAAATGATATTTGCTATTTCTTTTTGTGTTCATCAATGATTGTGGAGAACATGAAACCATTGCAATTCACACTATACTTAACCCTGTACTCGCTTGCTGGCTACCGTGATGTGACTTAAAGTAACATATGATGAGCTGTGAATTACAGGTGTGAGAAACACATAACAAAGGCATCTCGGGAGATGCACAGGGAAGGGGATGTCCAGAGCAATAGCAAAAGCTGCTGACCTGCGACATTAGCCAGGCACGTGACTCAAAGTTTCAGCCACATGCACAGTGAGGAACAGGGCATGTGTGGCAGCAGCAACAGTTGCAACCATATGCACAGCAAATTTATCACTTAGCTAGGCAGAAACAGCAAGGCAGATACCAGTCAGACCCCCAAACAGCAGGTGTCAAAGTGCATTCCCCACCCTAGACGCCAAGATACATCAAAAGCAGTCCCGCTCCACACGCTGCACCTGCTGCTATCTTGCTAGACTTTTAATGTTTTTGTTAACTTTTCCCTTATAACTTTCTCTTTACACGTCTTTAAATCTCAATAAATACCCGTGGGGACCCGGCATCAACGCCACACTGCCACATTCTGACAGTGTCTGGCCCCAGGACCCAGCAACTGCGTCTTCTCTCTGCCTCGTTCCCAGAAACCTAGAGGCTCTACCCCCTGGGCCTGCCTCACACAGGGGTTCAGCACAAGGGCTGGGAGAAGGTGAAATGCTGAGACACAGCCGTCAAGAAAAGCTCAGGGGCATGTGTGGCAGTCCAGCGCCGGTGCTGCCCACCACAGCCTCATGAAATCTGGTCAGTCAATTACAATGAATGTCCACTACAACTGGACAAAATGAGGAGGATGCTCCTGAGTGAGCAGCCGAGACTGGGCAGTAGAGACAAGACCCTCCTCTCACAAGACAGCACTGCCACATGGCGCTGCTCACATTCGAGAGGCTGGACTGGGAAACTCTGCCATCAGCCGTATTGACCAGACCTCACACCATCTGACTATCACTCCTTCCAGGCCTTGGACCACTTCTTGAAAGGAAAAATACTCAATTTTTTTTTTTTTTTGAGACAGAGCCTCAAGATATTGTCCTGGGTAGAGTGCTGTGACATCACAGCTCATAGCAACCTCCAACTCCTGGGCTCAAGCAAGTCTCCTGCCTCTGCCTCCCAAGTAGCTGGGACTACAGGCGTCCACCACAACGCCCGGCTATTTTTTGCTTGCAGCTGCCATTGTTGTTTGGTGGGCCCAGGCTGGACTCGAACCCACTAGCTCAGGGGTATGTGGCTGGCACCTTAGCCACTTGAGCCACAGGCACCAAGCCGAAATACTCAATTCTTAACAGGCTGTGGGAAATGCCTTTCACGCTTCACCTCCACCTGTTCTCCACTCCCAACAATGAGCTGCCATTAAGATGGCAGCACTGTCAAGAGTTTAGGCACATACTCTGATTAACTGTACTGCTTCTTGTTTGAGATACAGTAAACTAAACTCTTACTGACGATCAGATATTTCATACTGGATGACCTAGTTAGTGTTCCCGTTCTGGCACACAGATCCCTTTTTTGGTTGTAATCCTCGTATGTATTGTATTTCTGCTCTGTACCTAGTATTTCTATTATTTCTTTCAATTTATCAATCCTATGTTTCTCTCATTCTTTTACTTCTTCAAAAAAACCCAAAATCATTGTATTCCCAAGACTAGAGATAATTTGACAAAGCCTTGGAGGGCATCACCTTCCCTTGGAATTCTGGGGGTCCAGCCTGCCCCCCAGACGGTGCTCTGTCACCAAAGCCACAAAACTTCGCGCCCCACCCTCCAGGCACAGGACGGCTGAGAAAGAGGTGGGGTGTGAAAGGGCGAGTTTCCCAGGGTGGCACGTAGGCAACGGCACCTCCATGGGAAGCCACCATGAGGACCTGCACCTGACTTTGCCCATGAGGTGCTCTGTAGCAAGGTCTTTAAACAGCGCCCGCCAGCTAGGTGACCCTCACTAAAAACAGTGCTCACGGCTAGGAAACCCTTCAGATGTCTAACATCCCCAGTGCGCGGGAGATCCAAGAGAAAGTCTAGCCTGAGAAGATGCTCCCTGGAGGGGTGAGGAGCCGTGTCTCTGCTGCCTGACCCTCCTGTCCCTAAGTCCCTAAGAAATGTTTCTCTCTGAGAAACTGGATTTGTCAGCCTCCTTCTTCAGCCTGAGTTGCCTCAGCCCTTGGGGGCACATTTACACAAACTGTCCACCATGTAAAACTTTCAAGCAAGCAGGCACTGAGAAAGTCACACCAGGAACCCGCACGGCGAGAACTGCCAGCATCACCCTGCACTCCGAAGTGAGGGAGGGTACCTGGGAAAGTGAAGTCTCAAAGAACAAAGGTTTCTCACAGAACCCCACGGACATACCCGCAAGGTCCTCCCCACGGTAACCTCGCCCTTAGGAATTTGTAAACCTAGTTTTCTGGGTCTTGGAAACTAACTCTTGCTGCTCACTTCCGCTGCACAGGACTTGACACCTGCTCTGAGAGGCAATATGGAGATGCCTTTCTCTGTCTCCTTGTGAGGCCAATAAAGGGCCAGGATGGAAAGTCGGGGAGCTCGGCCACTATGGACTCTAGTCGGCCACATCTGTGCAGCTGAAATAAACCCCTTCCTCTTCTATCCCCAATGTTCAAGTGACTCTCTGCTTCTCTCCACCAGGCCTAGATTCCTGCAACAGAAGGACACCGTGGGGGGACGGACACGCAGCTCTGCAGGGAGGGACAACCAACACCAGAAGAGGTGAGTCTGCAGTAAACAGAAGAGACCGTTTCTCTCTTTCTTCCTATAATTTACTTAAAAAACAACTCAAAATTTGAAGTAAAACAGTAATGCATTCAAGTCGGGTTTATATATATCAGAGTCAAAAATCTAGCAACAAGACAAGAAACTAACAAAATTCAGACAAAGAGAAACAGGTGAAGACACCCCTCCTTCACCCTGAGAATGTTCTCCAGAGGGGCCTGTCTCAGGAGGACAGCTGACCCGTCTGATGGGCATAATCTCCCTGTACCCCTCTTCCAGTAAACCATGCTGATCAAACATCTTTAGCTCACACAACACCCGCAAATAAGTTGATTTGAATTTAAAGCATCAAATGTAAAACAAATATCCCAAGGAAGGTGAGGAAATGCGTAAACGCAGTAAGAGAGCTGCTCCCGATGAGTGTGCACCTGCCCCAGCCCGCTCAGCTGTGCACCTGCCCC